ACAGTTCCTAAGTGGGCCTAAGTCCTGGTACTGTGTTAAAAATGTAAAAATAGTATGCGAAGTCTTTATAGTGTTCACTTTGATTTATTAATTTTCTAGCTTGGGAATTAATTCATTTGTCAAAGTCTCCATCCCCTCTTAAAGATCCCCGCACATCCTGGTTGATATCGGAAATGCAGTTGAGATCCACCCATGTTGCATGGATGAATCCTGCAGGTCAACAGCTTGTTTCTCTTTATCGCTGCATACCATTGCACTGTGTGGTGTACCATAGTCGTCTGTGTTTGCGCAGCGAAGGGCATCTTGGTTGCTTCAAATTTTGGCGATTATGAATAAAACTGCTTATACACATTTGCGTGAACCTACATTTTCAGTTCACTTACATAAATACCTGGGCACATGAGTCCTAGGCCGTATATTAAATCTGAGCTTAGATTAGAAACTGCCAACCTGTCTGTCTTCCAGACTGGCTGTGCATGGGAAGCAGCACACAGGAGTCTATGGAGGATTGGCATTGTTCATTTAAATGTTGGGCAGACTGGCCAGTGAAGCCACCACAGCCTGGGCTTTTCTTTGTGGGGAGATTTTCACATAATTCCATATCCTTGCTGTCCTAGTTGAACTCCAGAGCAGAGGCGGGATGTCTCAGAGGCGCTCCCGGCTTGTTGCATGCACGGCCCCGACACGCTGGTTCTGACAGCTCTGCCCAGGTTTCTGGTTGCCTTTGCGGGAGAGGATTTGTCAGCATCCTTGGGACATCCTGCCAGAGTCCTGCTTCGGTGGGTTCTCATACATCGCCCGTCAGCCGGCGAACAGCGGTAGAATAATATTCAGAATGCTCTTGCTTCCATCTCCAGCCACATCTCTCTCCTTTGGGGTCAAATTTTCCTTAAAGTACTTCTGTCTGTGCTATCTCCTCATCTCCCCACAACGCCACCAAATCCCAGAAGTTGGCTGCTGTTAAGTCACTGGCGTTTTCCATGTTGGAAGCCCAGGTCTGTTGTTGGTCTCAGTTTTCTTCGCACCGTCCAGCAGCGCCTGACACAGGAGATGCCCGACTCGTGGGTGAGGTCCTTTTTGTCTCCGGGAAGATCAGGCTGCCTTGCCTTCCTCCTCCTCCGCCGTCCTCTGACCCGTGTTTCTCTAAACTCACTTCAGTGTCCTGTCCACTAACATCTCCCAGACATTTGTTTCCAGTTTGCACCTCTCTCCTGAACGTCAGTCATAGCTAATGGCCAAACTTGTTTTCCGCAAACTCACCAAATCTTCCCAACAAGTACTGTTGGCAACTCCGTCCCTCTCGTCCGGCAGCAGTTTTGGGGGCCTTTTGACGACTCCTCTCATAGAGCATGACAAGCCATCAACAAGAGTTTCTGTTACCTGTTGAGATTTACTCAGAATCCCACCGCTTTGACTATTACTAGTCCAAGCTACAAGAGTCTCTTGCCTGGATTATAACTGTCTTCTAATAGGTTTCCTATGTCTGCCCTTACTTCCCGACATTGTAATTTAACACATTGCCCCGTGAGGCTTTTCATGTAAATCAGATTCTCTCTGCTGCCTGGAGTTCTCCACGGTTTCCCATCTCAGCGGAAGTCCTTAGGAAGGCCCTTATCTGCTCCCCCGTCCTCACTGACCTCATCTCTGGCCACTCCAAGCCACTGCGGTCGCCCTGCCAAGCATGCTCCGTTCCCAGGGCTCCTGCATCTGCTCCTCCTCTGCCCGGTGGTCTTATGCTGGGTCTGCGTGAGCTCACCACCTCCCACTTCACCTCTCGGAGCCTCCTGGAGCTCCTGTGGAAGGTGGCAGCTCCCTGCTACTAGCATTCCATTTGCCTTTCTCTGTTTTTCTCCATAGCACTTCTCCCATGTGACAAACTGTCTTCCCCGCTACAACACAAGCTCCCCGAGGAGTTTAGCGTGGTTACTGAATTATCTCCAGTGTGTGTGTGTGTGTGTGTGTGTGTGTGTGTAAAACAAACCATTCTTAGCTCGAGGACTGCACAGAAATACTCTGCCTGTAGTTTGCCAGTCCCTGCTCCAGTAATTCCCACAAGAAGGTCTGCTAGAGTCAATATTGGTTTTGCTGGATAGAAAATTCTTGAGTCACATGTAGATGAGCCATATAGTATTTTTCTTATAAGTTACTTGCTGGTTTTGCCTATATGTCCAAGGGACTTTTCTCTCTCTCTTTACAGTCCAGTTGGTGTTGGTTACTCTGGGTTGATATCCTCAGGTATGTGGCATGTTATTTTAATGTGTAGTTTCAAGTGTTGTGGGTTTTTTTGTTATTTTTTTCCCCTCAGAATGACAAAAACCAAGCTTAATGCATTGATGATTGAAAAAAATCCATGATACATTTTTAACCTGATTTTTTTCTTATTCTTTTTTCCAGTTTGAGGTATAATTAATAAATAAAAATTACATATATTTAAGGTATACCATGTGATATTTTGCTATGTGTATACATTGTGAAATGAATACCTCAGTCATGCTAATTAACATCTGCCCTCTCACATCGTGCTGCTGTGTGTGTGTGTGTGTGTGTGTGTGTGTGTAGTAAGCACTTAAGATTTACTGTTCAAGATTTCGAGCAGATAAAAGTTTTATTAACTATAGTCACCATATTATATAGTAGAACTCCACAACTTAATTCATCCTGCATGGCTGAAACTTTGTATTCTTTAAGTTTCTGATTTATAGTTTTTAATGTTTCATTTCATGCATTGGATTTCTTGCTACTACAACTCCTGTTATTCATGTGTGTTTTGAATTGTCTTTGCTTAAAATAAGCACATACTATTTACCACTATCTCCTATGCTTTTTCTCATTTTTCAATTTTCCTATTCTGATTTAGGCCAGTTACCATTTTCTTAATGACCTTCAACTCATTTTGCAATAGGATACTGTTTTGATTTGCTTTCTGGGGACACCGTTCTGGCATGCTTTCATTGTCTGGACAGATGTTATTCTGTTCCATATTCTTTTTATTGGAGGTGTTTTCTAATTTTCTAGAAGGAAGTGTAGTTCAGGGTATTCTGGCTTCATATAACAACTCAAACCATGAACTCACTCCTATTGGGCACTTATCCTCTTTTTCACTTACCTGCTTTTTATCACAGTTAACCACCTCAGTACTCAGCTTGCAAAGATATGAAGCCATCAAAATGATGTAGAACGATTCTGTTGAAACGGAGCTACATTGAGCTGGTAGTTAGTTCCTCTGATAAATGTTGCTGTTCGCTTCAAATTCAAAGCACTCCACTGTGCCTGGGAGTTTGCTGTGGCCCATGTGACACTGACCTAGAGCTGAGGTGATGCTGACCTGACAACATTTAGTAGGCTCTTAACTTTAAAAAAAAAAGTGGAGGTACATAAGCAAGATTTTCAAAGTTGTTCTGCCAGCCAAAAGGAAAAGCTCTTTCTTTGGACCTATGCACTCAGGCAAGCAGATTGATTAAAAAGAACATATTCAAATCCGTTTGAAAACAGGTGTGTATGTGCCCACCGGTGCATGTGCACGTGTGTGAGAAAGAAGTCTTGCTTGCCGATGCATGTACACTTAAATGTATGCTGGGAAAACTAGGGTGTTTCTTTGCTTTAATCTAGTTTTCTTGAGGGGGAAAATACTTTGAGTTGATGAAAAGGAATGACAGCATGCTTTATTGACCTTGCTATTTAAAAAATTGGTGCTAAATATTTGAATTTGACTGACAGCTAGTTTCAGATACAGTCCATCAGATCCTGCTAAATAATGTTTTGTGTGTGTGTGTTTTAATATATTTTATTGATTTTTTTACAGAGAGGAAGGAAGAGGGATAGAGAGTTAGAAACATCAGTCAGCTGCCTCCTGCACACACACACACCCTTACTGGGGATGTGCCCGCAACTAAGGTACATGCTTTTGATCAGAATCGAACCCAGGACCTTTCTGTCCGCAGGCTGACGCTCTATTCACTGAGCCAAACAGGTTTTGGCTACACAATGTATTTTCATAGAGAAAATTTTGTGTCATTCAAAAGAAGGCAAAGTATATGGATGTGGTAGGAAAATCCAAATTCCTCCATACCAATATTCATCATACACAGAAATTTGGAAGTGATTCCAAGTAAAACATACCCCTAATTTATACCATGGTGAACAGAAAGAATGGTTGACTTCCAAAAGACCAATCACAAATCGCTGCTTACAAAGTTTCCCTCATGCTAATTAGCTGAAGGCCGGGCTCGGTTCTCCTTAGTGATTTAAAAAGGAAGCATAGACAGTGCCCAGAAGGCAGTGTGCCGCCTGCACATCTCCTCACCTTCTTTCTGCAGGATCCCAAGAAATGTGGGCAGCTACCTCTTGACCCTTTCCCTCCTCCAATACCTTTTCTGATTTCTTGTGTGTTTTTTTAAGAAATATGCCATTGACAGCAGATTATCCACTGTATTCTCAGTGTGGCTCACAGAGCTCTGCAAAAAGCTGACATGTAAGCAAGAGGAGATGTGGGTTTAATGCAGCCATTTCTTTCCTGCAGGGATCTGAGAGGTCTCATGCTAGAGCAGCAGCCTGCTCTAACCTAGTCTCTTCTCCAGGATTAACATGGGCTTCCTAACATCTGCCTCTTTACAAAACTGGTTTTCGTGTTTTTGAAATTATGTAGAAAAAGGAATAGGGGTTTTGTTTCAACTATGCTTTTTTAAGACTGGGTATATAAGTTATAAAGACAAGTGGTAGGTGAGGGGAAGCGATAAAGATACGGCATTTTTCCCTTGTAAGAATTACCTTAGTGCTGAGAGGCCAATTTTAATAATGTTTTCAGTGACCTGTCCCAGTAGAAAGGTAGAACCTGGGAAGGCCTTTAGTCTGCCTGTGCCAGTGACAGCATTTCCCTGCATCAAGGTCTCTGCTTCTGTGGACAGTAAAAGCTTTCCCCTCTAGCGGAGCCGGGTGGAAAGTGAAGAAAGGCAGGAAAAGGAGCCGAGTGTGTAACTGTGTTTTCTTTTCCTTCCCTGCAGCCTGTTCCATGGGAAACGGCACGAGCAGACTCTACAGCGCTCTCGCCAAGACCCTGAACAGCAGCGCCGCCTCCCAGCACCCGCAGTATTTGGAGTCCCCGGACCCAGAACATCTGGAGCCCATTGACCCCAAAGAGCTCCTCGAGGAATGCAGGGCGGTCCTGCAGAGCCGGCCTCCCCGGTTCCAGAGGGACTTCGTGGACCTGAAGACAGATTGCCCCAGTAGCCACCCCCTTATAAGGGTCATGCAGTGGAACATCCTCGCCCAAGGTAAGCTGGTGCTTCGCTCCTGAGCCGCTCGGTTTGTGGTGACCGCCTCTCTGCCTCTGCACGTGCTGCTGCCCCGGCTCCGTGGAGGGAAGAAACGTGGGCGATGGAGCTGTAAGATGGGGTGACGGGGGCAAGTTAGGAAAGGAAGTCTTCTGGTTTTCACTAATAAACCCAGCAACTGGAGACGTATTCCTAATTACCTTCCATGTCTATAGGCCATCCACGTACAATGAAAGTCTACTTCCCAGCCCTTAAATCTAAAGGGCCCATAACCTGTCAGCCTCATTACTTTTGTTGTGTCCACCTTTCAGTCCACAGCACCAAGACAGCATTTGCAAGGGAGAAACCGAGTCTCCTGAATGGGTCACACATGGGACTTGCTACAGGGGATGGGAGCTGTGTGGGTGGTGCTGAACCTGTCATCCTACGGCCATATTCTCATCCATTCGCACTTTTTTCCCTGGTGTTAGCTCTCATGTAGCAGTTTGAAATTTTAAGGAAAGGGAACAAAAGGGCTACCTTTTTGCCCTTTTCTCCCCCAGAATAGGGCATGCTTGCTGACTTCCCAATCTTTGGTTCATTTTTTTCCAGCTGCTCCTAAGTAGGAAAAGCTGCCCATTTATTCTGAGTAGTATCTATATCCATTCATAATCGGTGTTGAAATTAGTATATGGAGTTAAACATGTCTATCTCATCTGACATAGTTTAGATCCCTGGAACTGCAAAGAATACTTTTTAAAGCTAAAACTTAGTGCTGTTTAGGCAGAGAAGAATCACCCACAGCGCCTGGAGGAGGAAGCACTGGGAGGGTCTTGAGTCCTATCAAAAACCCAAGGAGACTCCCAGGCACTTAAAGTCATGATTCTGTAGTAGCTGACAACCGACTGGCTTTTTTTATTTCAGCTCTTGGGGAAGGCAAAGACAACTTTGCACAGTGCCCCGTTGAAGCACTCAGGTGGGAAGAGCGCAAGTGTCTCATCCTGGAAGAAATCCTAGCCTACCAGCCTGACATCCTGTGTCTCCAAGAGGTGGACCACTATTTTGACACCTTCCAACCCCTCCTCAGCAGACTGGGCTATCGAGGCACTTTTTTCCCCAAGCCCTTGTCACCTTGTCTAGATGTAGAGCATAACAATGGGCCAGATGGCTGTGCCTTGTTTTTCCTCCAGAACCGATTCAAGTTAGTCCACAGTACCAACATCAGGCTGACGGCCATGGCCCTGAAAACCAACCAGGTGGCCATCATACAGACCCTAGAGTGCAAGGAGTCCGGTCGGCAGTTCTGCATTGCAGTCACCCACTTAAAAGCACGATCTGGCTGGGAGCAGTTTCGATCAGCTCAAGGCTGTGATCTTCTCCGGAACCTGCAGAACATCACCCAAGGAGCCAAGATTCCCCTCATTGTTTGTGGGGACTTCAATGCAGAGCCAACAGAGGACGTCTACAAACATTTTGCTTCCTCCAGCCTCAACCTGAGTAGCGCCTACAAGCTGCTGAGTCCAGATGGGCAGTCAGAACCTCCGTATACTTCCTGGAAGATCCGGACCTCAGGGGAGTACCGGCACACCCTGGACTATATCTGGTATTCTAAACACTCTCTGAGTGTGAGGTCAGCTCTGGATTTGCTCACTGAAGAACAGATTGGAGCCAGCCGGCTCCCATCCTTCAATTATCCTTCAGACCACCTGTCTCTAGTGTGTGACTTCAGCTTTAATAAGGAACCTGATGGACTTTCATAAACACTTTGTAATCACAAGTCTTAACCAGGGATGTTTCAGGAAAACAAATAGGATAAGTTGCCTGAGGAAGGATTCCCAGTTTCTCTCACTTCACTTTCCATGTTTCCAGCATGCCTCAGGGAAGGAGTCCCACTAGTTCACAAATGTTTTCCATTAAACCCTTCAGCGAAAAAGGTGTTTGCACTCCAGTTTTGGCTTTTTTCCCCTTTCCCATAGCATTAAATTTAGATCAATTAAGGGCATTCTCAATTAGTCTTGTGTTGAAGCTTTCAGTTTGATGACACTATAAAAATACTTTTGAGTCTTCCATAATTAACAAGTATGCTGGAACAATTTCTTCAGACAGTATTTCAAGTTATTTATTTGTGGTTTTAAATGTCAAGATATGCATGCATGGCAATGTTTGTATTTTTAGCATTGCAAACATTTAAAAACCATGCAAATGTAAGTTATAGAATAATTTATAGTAATTTTCTTAAGGCTTTAAGATGTTTTTATTTGGGGTCTAACAAAATAGTGAACAAAGGAACTATTTAGCCTGGAGGCCTCGGGGTTTGTTTTTGTTTTTTTGTTTTGTTTTTTCACTGTATTCCCCCATGCAATCTTGGCTGCCACAGTCAGACAGAAAGCCGAGGACCCTTTTTTCTTGCACCTGCACTGGAACCTTGGCAGCAACATGTTTTTGTTTTTAAATGGAAATAGCTGGCCTTGATAAGTTCTTCATAACAATTCTTGCTGTGCCTCCATGTTCCCATTGTATTTCTTGAAGAGATCCCATGACCAGTTGGTCTTTGTTATTTAATCACTGTTACTTTTACAGTTTTCTGTTGGAATGCTATTGGTATACATAAGTGGCCAATGTCACAGTGATTTGTATTGGAATGTGCTTTTCTAGTAAAATCAGTGGGCCCTTTTCAGAGATGGGTAACTAGAAAGCCTGTTCACAAGGCTATTCAAAGTGTCTAGAAAGAAATGTAAAAGGAAAGATAACCTGGAATTCTTTCATTGGGAAAAAAAAAATGCGGTCAAGGTAACAGGTGAAGCCCCTTCCAAGCAAAATCCCAGCAAATAACCTATTGGTAATAAATATTTTAATCCATGAGTTGTATATATTTAAAATTAATAAATCGTCTTTTAAAACTAGTACTGTAATAGCTTGTATTTTTAGCCTAAAAAGAATCTGGTAGGTTTGATCTTTTATACCAACTTCAGAGAGGAAGGTAGAGGGAGATATAGAAACCTCAATGATGAGAGATTCATTTATCGGCTGGCTGCCTCCTACAGGCCCCACACTGAGAATCGAGTCCACAACTCAGGCATATGTGCTGACCAGGAATCAAACCCAGGACCCTTCAGTCCACAGGCCAACGCTCTGTCCACAGCTAAACCAGCTAGGGTGGTTTGATATTTTTATACTGTTAACATGGTGGGTTCACTATTCATTTACACACAGAATTTCTAAAGCAGATCTATAGCTGCACATTGAAGACATCTTTGCTGTGCTTATGTAAGATGGTATCTCTCAGTGCCAATGTTGGAGCTCCCAAAATGGTTCACCCAAGTATTCTGCACTGGAACCACTTTTGAAACAAACGTTTCTCAGTACATTGTAAACAAACTCTTGGGACTACCTGGAAGGAATGGCAAGCACAAAAAACATCCATACTATTTGGTTCAAATCTTAGCATGGCTAATAGTGATCATGTTGCTGAGAAACACTAATTAGAATACTTATGTACAGGCATTAAATATTGTTTACGTACCCCAAAGTACACCAACCTGAGAGATCACGACAGCCTTGAGTAAACAAATCTGAATGAGAATGAAAGTCAATATGTGAATTTCAGGTGTCCAACAATATAGTCACCAGCCACTTACAGATAGGGACAGGTTCTGAGAAATGCATCATTAGCGGGTTTCAGCATCATGTGAGCATTATCGTGTACTTACAAAAACTGCAGTACAGCCCACTACACACCCAGGCTGAATGACAGAGCCTTTTGCTCTGTAGGGGAGGGAAATAATGTTCACTCTATCCTTTTAGGTTCTTGTTTGAGACATCCCTGTAATAAAAGATTAACAGAAAAACAAATTTAATAAACATGTACCGTTTGCCTTCTGTATACATGGAGACCCAGGAAAACACTAGATTAACTTCAACGAAGTGGCTGGGCCACCACCATGAAGACTACAGCTGAAGACACTGTTAGGGGTATGGGAAAATACTAGGAAAAGAACAAATAAGAGGGAGGTTGTTATGGAGGGTAAGGAGTAATGGGTTACTGGCAACATTTATTGAGCGGAGGGGAAGAGATTTCAGATGGATGAGTTGGACATTCAAGAGGAAACAGCCAGATGGCGAGTAAATAAACCCATCTAAGGCCTAAAGAAGAGGCTAGAACAATATATTTGGTAGTAGACACCATAAGAATGGGTGGGATTGTCTAATATATTGAGATATCATAACATTAAATAAGAGTGCTATGTTCCAGGCACTGGTTCTAAATCCTTAACATATTACTCAATTCTTCCAACTACTCTGAGGGCCCCATATGGGAAAGCTGAAGGAAAGCAAAGTCAACTAGGAGTTGGTCATACAGGAGGAAAACTGCAAGAGGGGAGTTATGGAAAACCAAGAGAATTTAAGAAGGCAGAGGCACAAGATCATGTGAAAAAAATAAAGCAGTTTGACTTGACCACTGGATTACTGGAGACTTCAACAGTAACTGTTTCTAAGTCAGAATTCAGACTATAATTAAGAAAGACAAAATGATGGGTTAGTAAGTGTTGTAACAGGAAAGAGGTAGGAGTGAAAGGGAATGAGATGCTGAATTCAGAAGGTACATCTGCCTCTCGAGACTAGTGCTGGATGCATGCTAGAATAAGATGCTCTTATAGCAAAGATTCCAGATTGGGGTAGTTGACAGCTCATGATCTCCATGTTCCCTAATCCCCAGGTTTGCTGGTTATTTGGTAAGCAGAGTGGTGAAGGCTGGAATTGTTGCTGAAAAATGACCTGAGGACTAAATGGACAGATCGTTCATTGTTCACAAGCCTGGTGAGGCTGGAAACTAGATGCATCAAGCTATTATATGGTTTTCCAATATGCTGGACACAAAAAGCAAATATGATCTATAGTTCAAAAGGTTGAAACTGAAAGGCATACACCTGGTAAATATCAATCACCAGAAGCACACCAATTAGTATATGCTGTGAACCTGTTTCCAAATTTAGACCATAAGTGTACTTATTCTGAAAGATGTACCCCAAAAGTATTCAGGTAGAGCAGTGGAGGAAGCTAGGTAGCCCTGGCCTCATCTAATTAGAACCAATTAACATAGCATATGGGGAATTACTAAAAATTTAAAGTACCTTTACCTTCCATAGCACATGACATATTCTTAGCAAAATCACCAAAATAAAAAATTGTCCATGTTTCATATGCTCAGCACTTGAGGGGATTAGGTATGGTAGAGTATATACTCTTTGCCCTACAACAGTATTATGGTTGAAATTGCAGTGCAAAAAATACAATTGGGGTGGGGGAGGGGGAGATTAACCAAAGAATTTATATGCAAAACCAATGAGCACAGACAAAGACCTCAGGGATGGGGGAACGGGAGTAGAGGGGTCAAATGTGTGGGGACATCTATAATACTTTCAACAATAAAGATTGAAAACCTTTTTTTAAAGAATACAATGAATTGCCAAAGCAGAGTAGGGAATATTTAAAGAGGTAGAATTTGAGATTAACTTTCAAATGGGATAAGAACCAGGCAAAGGGTTGGTTTTTCTTTTTTGTTTGTTTTTTGTTTTTTGAGCTTTTATTAAAAAGTACCATTAGGTATGTTTATGGTAAAGATAAAAAGATTACAAAGGGAGCTGTTAAAAACATCTTTGTCAACTTAAGTAGTATCAGATGAAATGTACAATTAAAGGCCACAAAATATTAAGTATTAGTTTATTTAAATTTCTAAAAGATGTAAAAATAGACAACTTTTCTTTGTAATAGAAAGAGCATGAAGATGTAGAGTCACACGACCTAGTCCGGTGTGAAATTCGGAAACTCCTCTGTAATCCTTCTGGACCTCCAGTTCCTCATTGTAAAAGAGCCAGAATATTACTTGTTCTTCTAACCTTCAGAAAGTATGATTGAGAAGCAAATGATCTTGATTTAAATATAAATTCTTTCAGTGTGGCCAACATTAAAATAGTAAATTCATTATGGTAACTAGAACATTATAGTTCACGATAATTGAAAAAGTGGCAACATGCAGTTATTTGCCAAATATTAATATAAAGAACAAAACAGAAATAGGATTTCTTTAGTTGGAAAGGAGAAATAGGATTTCTATTCTTAACTAAAATGATGTCTCTCTACTAGCTTTTGAATATTGTTAAAAATATCACCAGAGACCAAAATGCAAGATAAATTTCTATATTTCAGAAAACCTACTTGAATACACTTTGAAACAAGAGTACAACAAAATAGAATATACTTCAAATGTTGAATATACAAACTATTATAGTTCAAATTTGAACACTGGTACTTTCCCTCTTAAACTTCAACTAAAAAAAAAAAAAAAAAAAAAAAGAAAAACAAAAAAAACTCCAGGTATTAAGAATTACCTGACAAAAATTCATGCTGAGCCTTAACTTCCAAGTGACAGGAGAACAGAAACTGATATGTCTGCACAGATGACAGGCTGAGTGACACAGGCATGTTACAGCAAAAGGCCAGAGCCAACTGTTAATTTGTCCACAATTAAGAAACTGACAGACTTAAACTACCATATAAAATGTTACATGTAAATTCTATAACAATACTGTGCTAGGTACAAGATTTTTAAAATTTTTCTTTTAATAAAAAAAGCTTTACACAAACAAGCCATTAGCTTATTTCAATAAAGAAAACCGAAAATTAGTCTAAGGCCTTTGTTTTAAATCAGCTTAAGCTATATGATATTTTACTTAAAAAATCGCAATAGATCTTTTTTGCTATCCTCTTTCTGAAGCTTTTGGATCCATTCAATTCACATTCTAAAATACCTACATTAGCAGAGTCTTCACATAGCACCAGTTAAGTGAGTTCTGTGTGAACACAGTAATAATTGCTGGTATGCATATAAAATGCATCAAAAATTGCTATATGTAACAATGAGATCACCCATCCCAACCCCTCCCCATTGAAAACTGTAACCTCTTACAGAATGTTAGTGTTCCAAGTCTTAGTGTAACTTGATATTGTAGTGAGTTGCTTGGTCCCTTTCAATCCTTTATTGATGGGTTCAGTTGTTTCCTAGGTAAGAGGCAGTTTTCTGTCAGCATCTCAATATGTAGTTCATTTCCCACTGAAACATGGGATAGGTAACTTATTTCCAGTAGGTTTGATTGTTTTCCTATATGCATTAAAATGTTTTAAAGTCTCCTTTTGACTTTTCTTGATGACATCCCTTGCAAACATTTGTTAGTACTATTACTAACAGTCCAACGTCCACGGCAGAGCTGCTCTTTTATTTCTCACATGTCACCAGTCCTTCCGTTTTCATCGTTACAGGAAGGGCAATAGCTGAAGGGGCACTGACAACCACTACATGTGTCACTGTCTTATTTCCATCTGCCGGTTTTTCTTCTTGTACCAGCTGCAACGTTTTCACGTCATGTTCCTGCTTTATTGTCACTGCCTCCGATTTAACCTCTGGCCCTTTTATGACCGCACTGATCACTCGGGGAGGAGTCTGGCCAGATGCCTGTTGAGTAGGCACTGATAGCCTCATTACAGGTGCACCATGGGCTATGGAAACAGGAGTAAGTGCTCTCACAGCCAGTGGGGTTCCAACAATGTTAATGCTTCCAGATCCAGTCAGATTTGACTTCGTCTGCAGTTGACACTGTGCAAGCTGTGTAGCTGGGATGGTGATAATTTTGGCAGGCTGCATGGTGATTTTGTCTCCGTTTTCAGTAGAGGCTGGCATCACAGTAGGGATTGTCTGAATAACTACCTTTGGAGAGGTTGCTGTTGTTGGACTAGTGCTGGTTATTAATGGTGCACCTGCATTAACTGACTGAACTGCCACAGTTGAAATTTTCTGGCCCAATGACGTCATTACAACAGGAACTTGCATTGCCACACGAACTGTCCTAGTAAATTAAAAAGATTAGACTATATTTAATGCTAAATTAGAACTATGTTTCTTAAGCAAAGGATGAATTGCAAATACAAATGTACAAACTAGTGCTCCCAAATTTTCCATATGTACTGACAAACCCCTGACACCTAGAATATGAACTACCATGAAATAAATATATTTAGAAAACTAAAGCCCATATTAAGTTCCATCTAGGAAACCATAAAAATCAATCCAGGTTAAATGAGACATCACCTACTTTAATAACGAAGTACATTTAAAATATCAGGTACTGCCGAAACCGGTTTGGCTCAGTGGATAGAGCATCAGCCTGCGGACTCAAGGGTCCCAGGTTCGATTCTGGGCAAGGGCATGTACCTTGGTTGCGGGCACATCCCCAGTAGGGGGTGTGCAAGAGGCAGCTGATCAATGATTCTCTCTCATTGATGTTTCTAACATTCTACATCCTTCTCTCTTCCTCTTTGTAAAAAAAAATAAATCAATAAAATATATTTTAATAAATAAATAAATAAAATATCAGGTACTTTTCAATTCCTGACCAACAGTGGGTTCTTAGAATGCAAATATTGAAAAAAGAACATATCATTTTGCCAAGGAGTTTTCTAAAAAAGCAAATACAACAGTTTCCCTCACTTACCTTGGGGCTGCTGTTGCTGATACAGATGTGGTAGTAGTAGGAGACCGGGACGAAGCATCATGACCAGGGGAAGTGATATTCACAACTCTCGCTACACCCTTCTCTGCTCTGGAGCAGTTTAGAGGAGATGAGTTTTTCCCACCACGAACAGAGGTTGCTTTCAGGAGACTTTCTGCAGATAGTGAGACTCGTTCTAATGACTTTTCATCAGCAGCTGCTGCCAAATCTTCATTACAGGTTTCACTTTTGTCATCATCTATGACCACTATGTTTTTGGGCATATCCTTGAACTGATAAACAAGCCTCTGTCCTTCAACCTTTGCAAGAATGCCCCTTTGGTAATAATATCTGTAAGGAAAAAGTTCTTAATGAATCAAATCACCAAGAAGAATGGGTAATAACAGAAACATTCGCTCATTTCTGTAAAATAAGAAGTAGCACTTCCTGCCTGGATTGTTCAAATGGCTGAGAATCATGAGTAGGAATGAAGTTGGAACCTGGTGCTGTAGGTCCCTATAACCTTGAGATATATAAAGTAGCAAAAAGTTCATTCTTAAAGGAAGTAATTTAACCTGAATACAGACTATTTTACGAACACTGATAAAAATTCAACTCATATTTATACATAGATTACAAAAACAATCTGATGTAACATGGAAAAATAATAAGCTGTGCTTAGAAGAGTTGAATCTGTGGGATATGTGAATACTGTCACATAAATTATGTACAAGGACCCTTAGTTAGAAAAAGCCATGTACACTACAAGTTTTGTGGTTTCTCAAACTGACAAAACTTGAGAAATTTTCACGTCAAGATAAATCCATTATAGCAAATTAACAAGAACTGAAGCAAATTAACAATTTTGAAACTTTCATTTGGGTTTCATTTTCTTAAAGGTCTGTAACTTAATTTTGTATTATGGAATAATCCTAAATGCAAAAGCACATTTTTTTCTGGAGAAACAGATTTTCCAATCATGTTGAAATTTTAGACATCCAGACCAAACTCCCTTTTCCTCATCTATCTCCAAATCAAAGAAAGCTTCTTTAGAATATCCTCCAAAATTAAGTTATCATAAATAAAGGATTTTCACAGCTTCTCTTCAAACAGCTAACAGACAATAGGAAGAGATGTGTAAATTTTGTTTGAAAACGCATTCCTTCATGCTCTTACCTCAAAGCTCGTCCCATAGTTTCATAGTTCATGTCTGGCTTGTTCTTATGTTTTCCCCAAAGCTTAGAGACAGCCTTTGAATCCACAAGCTTGAATATGCCCTTTTCTCTCTGAGTCCACTTAATATACCGGGGACAAGTATTTTTATCTTGAAGTAGATCTAAAAGAAACTCCCACAAGTAGGTTGTGTTTCCTTAGAAAGCAATGATAGATATTGATTAGAAGCAAATATTTAATTGTGCTAGATAAAAATAAAATCATTTATTACTTGTAAACGCAAATGTACTGAGTCTGTCATTAAGTACTTGACTATATTGGCAATCTTTGAACAGTGTCAAATTGTGTTTCTAGTAAGTGATATAAAGTATTTTTCATCATAACAAAATTCATAAATATACTTGTTAGCTGCATTTTTTTTTTTTTTTTTAAGAGAGAGCATAAGGGAGAGGGATAGAAACATTGATGAGAGACAGACATCACCATCAGCTGCCTCCTGCATGCCTCCCCACCAGGGTATTGAGCCTGTATCGAGCAAGTGCCCTGACCTGGAATCGAATCGGTGGCCTCTTGATTCCTGACTCAATTCTCAACTGCTGAGCTACATCAGTCGGGCTGTTTGCTGGATATTTTTTTTTCCTTTCTTTGTTTTCTTAGTTTTATTTTGTTTACTGGATTTTTAAAATAACATCCTATGTACATTTCCAGTTATGGTACTAACATAATTGAGATCCTAGATTTTATACTATCATGTATTATCCTAGCCTAGATTTTGAGTTCAATAAAGGCAAAGGCATAATGCATAGCACTGAGTGAACTTAAAACAGAATATTTATTAATTTACAGATTAAAACTCTGAATATATTTAAATTTGTATGTTTTTATAAGCTCAAATTCTATGATCAAAATTCATCAAAAGGCACTTATTAATTTATTGAAAAGGGATGTTTCCTCCCACCACATTCCTCTCTAAAATGAATATATAGCCGAAACCGGTTTGGCTCAGTGGTAGAGCGTCGGTCTGCGGACTGAAAGGTCCCGGGTTCGATTCCGGTCAAGGGCATGTACCCAAGTTGTGGGCACATCCCCAGTAGGGGGTGTGCAAGAGGCAGCTGGTCGATGTTTCTCTCTCATCAACGTTTCTAGCTCTCTATATCTCTCCCTTCCTCTCTGTAAAAGATCAATAAAATCTATTTTTTAAAATAAATAAATAAAATGAATATATATATATATATATATATATATATATGCATGACTTTGAACTACATCACTTTCAACTACTATACATCAAGATGTATGGCTGGGGATGGCTGGGTCAGGGTGCAAAAGAAGATGGTGGTCCCCACAGGGGATCAAGTTCCTGGTAACTTTCACTTATTGGAAGAACTTGAAGGACAAAAACGAGTAGGTGATGGTCTGGGTAGCTGGGGCCTTGAAGATGATGAAGATATGACACAAAGTGGATAGGCATGATTATTGGGCCACCAAGAACATATTATGACAACAGAGTATATAGCCTGCAAGTAGAATGTGGACCTAAATACCCAGAAGCTCCTCCATCAGTAAGACTGGTAAACAAAATTAATACGACTGGAATAAATAATTCCAGAGGAATGGTAGGTGCACAGAGCATACCACTATTAGCAAAATGCTGAAATTCATAGAGCATTAAAGCTGTACTTCGAGAACTAAGACATTTAATGATGCACAAAGAAAAAAGTCCACAGCCACCAGGACAAACATACAACAATTAATTTTAGTGGGTCTCAAATTTGTCTTAAATCAATACTCTTCTACTCATGTTAATGTCTTGATTAAACACCACAATGCAAAACACCCACACATTAAGTAAAATGCCAGCTGGTGAATATGACCTGGACATTTGTAGAATATTTTTAATATATGCATACACATTATGTTTTCAGGTAACAGGAGAAAAAAATACAGCACAATTTTAAATAGAATTCAGGTTTACAAGAGAAACAGCACCGTGGACCTGGCACCCACAAAGCAACACTTGGCTTCCCTTAAGTGGGGTACAGGCCTCGCCACTACCCTGGGGTGACAGCCCACCAAATCACAGCCAACACTGCCGAGACCCCATGGCACAAAACGCAGCCCACAGCACAGCCCAGCAACTATGGCTATAGGTGCCAAGTAATGACGTCACAAAGCAATGCCCCGCGGCTTCCTCTCCCTAGCAACTAGCCTTCTTGGAGTTTCTTCAGCTCAGGAACACGACTTGCTTTATAGCCAGGTGCAAACATTTTACCCTTGAACCAAATGTCTGTGAAGTGTTTTCATGTGCCTCATCTCATTTGATCCTCATAGAAGTCCTAGAGTGGGAAGACAGACAACTGAGTGGAATCCTATTTTCTTTTCATTAGCCAGAAAACGGAGATTTAGAAAGCTTAGAAACTGGACCCGAATGAAAAGGGTGGACCTTGAAAATAACTTCAGGTTTGCTCACTGAGCAGAATATAGTCAAACACTGCTGCGATCAAATATTTTACCTTTTGTTCTCCCTACATGATCTATAATAATAATCTGCTTTGTGTTGGTATTTATTGCTGTGTTGTTGACAATTACCTGAAAGAGAAGTTGGGGTGCTTCACTGGGCTGGAAAAAGTTAACTAAATCAGAAAGCAGGTCTAATTAAGCGAGTTTATTCTCTATATATAAGAGGTTAAACTGACTTGCACATGCACAATACACATAAAGCTCTCACTGGCACCAATCACACGCATGTGTTTTGATCTGTCATTGTTGATTGTGAATTTGGTTGGCACTTCTATTATAGAGAAAGGTGAATAATGATATTAAAATATATCTTGTAATTAGTTTCCTTTCAATGTGCATGCATTTGTGCACTGGGTCACTAATAAAAATAAAAAGATCCATTTATTGAATACTTGTCTGAAAACATTTATTCATGGGAAGTGATCAGTTTTTAACTATTACATTACCAGAACAAACATGAAACCATTATTAAAGTACTAGAGGCCCAGTGCATGAAAATTCATGCACTGGAGGGGGATCTCTTGGGCCTGGCCTGCCCCCTCTCACAGTCCAGGAGCCCTCAGGGATGGGAGGAGACCCAGCAATCAGGGGAAGGCAAGCCCCATCACACCTCTGCTGCAGCCACTGTCAGCAGCACAAGCCTCAGCCAGCTCTGGTTACCTGAGCCTCAGGCAGCCCTGGGCGGCTGGACAGCTGCCTTCAAAGGCTTGTCTGTGCCTCAAGCCTGCCCTGGGCAGCTGGAGGGCTGAGGGGACTGGAGGACTCCGGAGGCAGGCACATAGAGTGGCCAGACCCATCTGGGGGAAGGCCAGGCCATGCCACACACCTATTGTCCCGGTGGGTCTGAAGGGACTGTGATCCGCCATATTTGAGGATGTGGCAGTCAATTAGCATATTCCCTCTTTATTAGGTAGGATTACTTAACATCAACTTACCCAATAAATTAGGAGAGCATAAAAGGTAGGAAGATTGTTGCTATTTTTATTTGTAATGAAAATATACAAATTCTAAAGCAAAAAATGGTAAATTTTTGTTCTGACTCCTGATTGACATGACTCAAATTTGGTGATTGAGAAACTGAATTCAGCTTGCCTTAAATTATTTAATGCACAGCTTCTATTAGTTAAGAAATTGTGCATCAAAAGTAAGTCTTAGTTGTAACCTTCTTTCAATTCTAAGTTGCTCTATATGAGGATGCCTGCTGTTATACATACACATCCTCTAGACAAGTATGTCAAACTCAAAAGCTAACACAGGCCAAATAACATGCAACCCATGGGCGGGGAGTTTGACATGCTTGCTGTAGAACAATAGCTCTTAAGGGGTGTACATCATATTGCACTTAAAACCTTTTCCAGCCGAAACCGGTTTGGCTCAGTGGATAGAGCATCGGCCTGCGGACTCAAGGGTCCCGGGTTCGATTCCAGTCAAGGGCATGTACTATGGTTGCAGGCACATTCCCAGTAGGGGGTGTGCAAGAGGCAGCTGATCGATGACTCTCTCTCATCGATGTTTCTAACTCTCTATCTCTCTCTCTTCCTCTCTGTAAAAAATCAATAAAATATATATTTAAAAAAAAATAAATAAAAAAACCTTTTCCAAATTAAGTGCCTACCCCTTCGCACTCATCTCATGTATCCGTGGCTACAGAAACTCAGGCAGACAGTAGTGAGCATAGTTTGAAAAGCTCCTTGCTAAGCATTACTGAAAATAGTACTGTCTAGCCAGGGTAGCTCAGTGGTTAAGCATCAACCAGGAGATCACAGTTTGATTCCATCAAGGCACATGACTGGGTTATAGGCTCAAACCCCAGTAGGGGATGGGCAGAAGGCAGCCAATCAATGATTCTCATCACTGATGTTTCTAACTCTCTCCCCCCCTCCCTTCCCTTCCTCTCTTTAGTCAATAAAATATATTAAAAAAAGATAGTACTGCCACATATGCACATAGAAATATTTCAGACTGAAAAAAAAAAAAAAATCATCTGGCCTCCAAAATAGCCTTTCCCAAATTACCTTTTCCTTCTCTGGGTTTCTTCTTTATACCCAACTCAGGAGACCCATTGGAAATTGGTGATTGCTGGGTCTTCGGTTTACGGCCAACTGAAAAAATAAGATAATGAAACCATACATTAAAAACAATACAAGCATGATTAGCAGATTCCTTGATAATACATTATTCATGAAGACAAACTTGTATATTAATATATTCAGCATATATAGGAAGTCTCATCTAAGAACATCTAAAGCACTTCTACAATTTTAGATTAGAGCATTTAGTTGGTAGTAATCTCAATGTATAAGGCAAGTCAGGTTCTGCTAACCTACTATTTACATGGTCAGAGCCTCAGTTTGCTAAACTTTTCCAATAATGTGGCAATGGAAATAGATTCTACTGCAAACTTTTGTTTTCTGTTCTAGATGATTATTACAAAAAGCTTTACTAGTTACTGCAGAGGACCTGATAATCTCACAAGCCCTTTGAGTTCAAATGAGAAAAGGTAAAAACTATTATTTTAAACATTCTCTATTATTTCAGATAGGGAGAGGGAGAAATATAAATGACTAGAGGCCTGGTGCATAAAATTCATGCATTGGGGGGGGGGGTGTCCCTCAGCCCAGCCTGCATCCTCTCCAATCTGGGATCCCTCTAGGGATGTCAGACTGCCCGTTTAGGCCTGATCCCACCTTGGGCCTATTGGCCTAAACGGGCAGTCTGACATCCCTCTCACAATCTAGGACTGCTGGCTCCCAATTGCTTGCCTGCCTGCCTTCCTGATTGCCCCTAACCGCTTCTGCCTGCCAGCCTGATCACCCCTAACCACTCCCATGCCAGCCTGATTGATGTCTAACTGCTCCCCTGTCAGCCTGTTTGTCCCCAACTTCCCTCCTCTGCCAACCTGGTCACCCCTAACTACCCTCCCTTGCAGGCTTGATCGCCCCCAACTGCCCTCCCTTGTAGGCCTGGTCCCTCCCAATTGCCCTCCCCTGCTGGCCATCTTGTGGTAGCCATCTTGTGTATTGGAATGATGGTCAATCTGCATATTACTTTTTTATTAGATTGGATGAGAGAGAATCACTGATTGGCTGCCTCCTGCACACCCCATACTGGGGATGAGTCTGCAACCCAGCTTCTGTCCTGACCGGAAATGGAACTGGGACCTCTTGGTTCACAGGTCCACGCTCAAACACTGAACCACAAAGATTTGGTTCTAGTAAATGTTTATGTCCTTACTGTTGTTTCTCCTTGCTTCTGTCAGAAGGCTCCCTAAGACCAGCATCCACAATGAACAGAAAAGCAAGAGCTATACTTCTCTACCCTAAAAAAGGCATAAGCCTGAAATGCACTATATTCAATTTTCAGCATTGATGAATGAATGCTGGCAGGTGAAGAGAAGCCTCCACAAAGAGGTTGGGAATATTCACATATATTATCCAGTAGTCCTCCCTTATCTGTGGGAGAGACCTTCAAAGATCCCAGGTGGTTACCTGAAACTATGGGAAATACTGAACCCTATATATACTATGTTGTTTCCTATACATACATACATACATACATACATACATACATACTTATTCACTTAAAGGAAGCACTTTAGGGCTTCTCTTTGGCATATCTCAAGTGCCAGGATCACTACTCTAGTGCTTTGGGGCCGTTATGAAGTAAAAATAAGGGTGACCTGAACACAAGCACTGTGATAAGACAGTCAATCTGATAAGGGACAGCTACTAAGTTTAATGGGCAGTGAGCATATATACAGTGTGGAGATGCTGGACCAAAGGAGAATTGACATTCAGGGCTGGAAGGCTCAAGATTTCATCACATTACTCAGAACTGTCTGCAATTCAAATCTGATGAATCATTCATTTGTGGACTTTTTCATTTAATGTGTTCAGACCTGGTTGACCGTGGGTAACCAAAATCGTGGAAAGCAAAGCCAGGAATGAAGAGACTGTTGTGTTTTCAGATTAAATACATAAACACATTGTTTTTTTGTTCTTGGCTTTAATGGGCTTTGTATGTTTTTTTTGTTTGTTTGTTTGTTTTAATGAATAGAAGACTCAGAGTCAAGCAAGTCTATTGGCATCATTTTCCCACCGGTAATTGGCTCTATCATATTTTGGTAATTTTCACAATATTTTAAGCTTTATCATTAATTATGTTTGTTATGGTGATCTGTGATCAGTGATCTTTGATGTTACTATTGTTGTTTTGGGGTGCCATGAATCACACCCACATAAGCCAGTGAACTTAATTGATAAATGTGTGTTCTGACTGCTTCCACTAGCTGATCTCCACCTCTCCCTCTCCTCAGACCTCCCTATTCCCTGATACAAAATATTGAAACTAGGCTAATCCTATAATGGCTTCTACATATTCAAATGGAAGAAAGTCAATCAGTGCAGCGAACTTCATTGTTGTCTTATGGTACAGAATTGCCACAGCCACCGCAACTTCAGTGACCACCACCCCTATCAGTCAGCAGCCATTAACAACATGGCAAGACCCTCCACCAGCAAGATGATTCCAACTCCTGAAAGCTCAAGTGATGGATAGCATTTTTTTTTTTTTAGCAATAAAGTGTTTTTCATTAAAGTAATATACATTTTTAAAGCTAAAATGCTATTTATTGCACACTTAATAGTATAACAACTTTTAAAATAGTAATAGTATAACTTTTAAAATAGTAACTTTTATGTGTACTGGAAACCAAAAAATTTGTGTGACTCACTTTATTGTAATGGTGTGGAACTAAACCAGTAATACCTGAGGTATGCCTGTATATTATTACAGATTTTGTGACTGTCATACACTTGGGATTTATGATGTCACTCTACTCTTCATTAGCAAGGACTATTTTCAACCAAATAAATTAAAATCCATTATATCTTCAAATGCATAGATACTGTGATCTAGGATTTCTTTTTTTTTTTTAAATAAGCTTTTGTTGTTCATATTATTACAAATGTTCTTTTTTTCCCCTCCCACCATTGCTCTCCTCCACCAGGTTCCCACCCCACCCTCTGCCCTTTCCCCTCTCCCCATTGTCCTCATCCATAGGTGCACAGTTTATGTTCAGTCTCTTCCCACGCCCCCCCCTCTCCCCTTTTCCCCAAGAATCGTCAGTTCACTCCCCTTCCATACCTCTGATTCTATTATATTCAACACTTAACATTGTTCACCAGATTTTTTTAATTTCCTTGGTTTTTAGATTCACTTGTTGATAGTTACGTATTTGTTGTTCATAATTTTTATCTTTGTTTACTTTCTCTTCTGAAAGAACCCCCTTCAGCAATTCATATAATTCTGGTTTGGCGGTGATGAACTCCTTTAGCTTTTTTTTATTAGTGAAGCTCTTTATCTGGCCTTCGATTCTGAGTGATAGCTTTGCTGGGTAGATTATTTTTGGCTGTAGGTTCTTGTTATTCATCACCTTGAATATTTCTTGCCATTCCCTTCTGGCCTGCATGGTTTCTGTTGAGAAGTCAGCTGACAATCGTGTAGGTGCTCCTTTATAGGTTACTACCTTCTTTCCTCTTGCTTCTTTTAATATTCTCTCTCTGTCTTTTGCTCTTGGAATTTTAATAATGATGTGTCTCGGTGTGGATCTCTTTGGATTCCTTTTGTTTGGAGTTCTGTGAGCTTCCTGGACTTGTAAGTCTAATTTTTTCACCAGGTGGGGGAAGTTTTCTGTCACTATTTCTATCAGTATGTTTTTGATATCTTGCTCTCTCTCATCTTCTGGGACCCCCATAATTCTGATGTTGGTTCGCTTGAAGTTGTCCTAGAGGTTTCTTACATTATCTTCAATTTTCTGGATTCTCTTGCCTTCTAGCTTCTGTGGAGGAGTGTCTTCTGGCTCTTTATGTTCCAAATCTTTGACTTGATTCTTGCGATCTTCCCTTCTGTTTTTAGGACTCTGTGTAATATTTTTTATTTCAGACAATGCATTCTTTATTTCTTGTTGATCCCTTATCATTTCTTGTTGACTCCTTATTAATTCTAGTTGATCTCTTTTCATATCCTCATAGGCCTTATCCATCTTTTCTAGGAAATTCTTGAAAAACCTTATAAGCGTAGATTTGAACTCTATATCCAGACGCTTTTTGTCCTCCATTTCTTTCGTTTGTGATCTATTTTGTTGTCGCATTTCGCAGTTACAGATGGGACGGGGTTTCAGGGTGGAGCCTGCAGCTTTGGCTTCCATCAACCCTGCCCTATGCGGGTCCTTCAGTGCTCCCTGCCGGCGCCTCTGAGAGAAAGGTGCCCTCGATTTTCGCCTGCTGCCAAACAGTCTATGCTCTCCACAATGAGCCCGGTATTGGGGTTCAGTTCATTTGGAAGTGGAGTTGGAGGTGGCGTTCAGAGCAATCTGTAGCCCCAGTCTCCTTCCCATCAGGGCAATCCCGCAGCACAGCCGACCGTCCCTTCTCTGCGCACAGTGTGCGCGCCTCCGGGACCTCCTTTCGCCTCTCCCCGGGGTTCCGCTTTACAGCCCGGTTCCCTATGGCTGAGCCCGAGTCCCCGGGGTCTGGCCCAGAACTGGGGTTCAGAGCAGTCGGGGGCCCAGCACAGTCAGAGTTTTATCTCCTTTCCACTAGGGAACGCCTGCCAGGCACTCGGCCTCCCTCCTCTCCGGCTCCGTCCTTTCCGCGCTCCGCGTCTCCGTACCTTGGACTTTTCCAGCTCCTCCGCGCCTCCTTCTGGTTTTCTCCTTGCTTCTCGCTGTAGAATTTCCAGTCAGTCAACCTTCCTGTAGTTCTGGGCAATGTCCGTTTTATATTTTAGTTGTATTTTATTGAAATTGTTGTGTGCGGCTGCGGCTAGGTGTTCACCTGGGCGCAGCCATCTTGGATCTCCTCCTAGGATTTCATTATGTTAATTCTAATCAATAAAAAGTATGCTTTCCTGGAGAAACCAAGATGGCGGCATAGGGTAGACACCGAATGCAGCTTACCACAACAAATTTGAATTTAGAACTGGAAAACAGGGGAAACATCGCCCTGAAGCACCAGATGGCTGGCTGAGAGGAGGCTCTACCATCTGGGAAGGAGAGAGAAGGTACGCTGAGCTTCAGGAACTGTGAAGGTGTGGAGAACTG